TTGTAACGAAAAAAGTACAAGGAACGTTATAGCTTTCCCGAAAACGATGGAAAGACGAGATCTAATGTTCGGAGCACCAGACATTATTTCAGACGAGTTGAAAACTTTGTATCACATACAAACAGTAAACAAATAATATTCCTTTTTTCACAATAAGTGTAATAGAAAAGAGAGATATTCTTTGGTATCTCTCTTTCTTTTCAAAAATACATGGCATTTAAAGTGACCAATAAATGTATTGTTTGGAAAGTTTCGACAAAAAGGATTGTTCTTGCCTTAAATTACTATCCTTCCTCTATAATTCTGTTTTGGATTTTTTTTGTTTAATTGATTACAAAAAAATGGCGTTATTTAAAAAAAAGTATAATTTTGCGTACACGTCTTCAAAAATTGATATTTTTGGACAATTTAATATTAATTATTGGTGTAAAATGTGATGATATCGCGTCTTAATGGTTTAAATAAATAAACTGACAAATATTTCCCGATAATCTATTTATTTGCGGATTATGGACTATATTCGAGATATCTTACAATTTACAATACTTAATAAACTGTAAGAATAAAGGCCAACAATTGAGCATAGACGTGGATGTCAAATTAAAGTTCGTTTATTAAACATAAGTATATATATAGAACTGGACGTTTCGACCGCACAGGGTCTTCTTCAGTCGATACAAATTAAATAATTACATAAAGTCGCGCAATAATCAGTAAAACCGTGAACGGTAAAAGGAAACAAATTCGATGGAAATAACAAAGTCATCCGGAGTCACATCTTACATGAGAACATTTTAATGGTAAAATATAAAATTATATATATGTATATAAATTTCTGTAGAGTCAATTGTGCAATGTAAAATTGTATATACGTGAATTCGCAAGTCAGTAGTCAGAAGTAAATCCATGATTAGCTAGAGATAAAACTAGAGAGTTTGCTGAACAAGTGCAGAACAAATACTTTACGCATAGAAATTTCGGATTTGTACAGAATTATCCACGGCTTGCGACAAGAAACTTCCTTCCTGTCCCGTAGATTGTCTAACTGTTTACCCGCTCGCGTTACCAGACATTACACTGTTCGGTTCCAAAACTTACAACGTAGGTTAACATATACTTACCAAAGGAAATTCGCTTGGCTAAAAAAACAATCTCAACTTAACCAAGCTTACACCGCCAAACCGATTGCATACTACTGATCTAGCGATAACAACAATCCAGATCACATACATTATGCACAAAAATTACCGGAGGGAAACAGTAACGGTAATTTCGTAAAAACTTATATCGATCTCATAAATTTCACTAATAACACAAGTGATCCTTTAAGCCATACGAACGAAAAATGGTTTATAAATCTTTCAGATACGGTTATCCCTCCAGAGGTCACAAACCTTCTACACTGAGAAAAAAAAATCGTTGATTCAAAGAAATATTATTTGATTTAACTAAATGCAGCGGTCACGGGCTGTCAAGCTAACATTTGTTAATTCAAAAAATATTATATTGAAATAAATTCAGAATTTCTTAATATTACTCACGTATATTTGATTTAAATATATTAATATTTGCATTAAACAAATCACTACAACTAAACGAGTTTAGTCAAATTAACGACATTTTTTTCTCAGTGTACAATTAGGTGGCAATTTTTGCCTTCCAATCAGCTTAAATAAAAAGAAAGCCATTCATGAATTTATAAAAGATGTGGAGGGTAATACAAAACAGTGTAAGGAATCTCACAAAGATACGAAATAACTTTATCCCACAGTTCCATTGTTTCCTACACACCACGCCACGAAAAAATATCACTAACGATAAAATTCTTGAAATGTATAAACTTTCTCAACATTTCGGTCATGAGAATCCGAACATCATTTTTACACGTGCGGATAAAAGGAATGTCACGGTGGCCATGAATAAAGATTTATATATACGGAAAATGGAAGACGCGTTACAGGACACTAGTACGTATTCCGTTGTAAAAAAAAGATCCTTCAAAAATTATAGAAAACAAATTAAACAACTTATTAAAAATATGGGTAAAGAAAGAATACATTTCTCAAAAAGAGGTATAAGGTTCTCGTAAAAGCATAGAATTATAATCTATTTTGATTCGGCATTTTGTACAACCCTATTGTCGGCACGCTTTTTCTGCCATCTCGGGTGCTTGTCTCGCGTGTTTTTCATCCGTGTTGACGAAGACGGCGAAAGAGCCTGACAATAAACGACCGCTGATTTATCGCTCGCTGGTTTAAGTAAGAGTTAAAGTGCCATGAACTCTCTAACAGCTAGACGACTGTTTCCCTGGCTGCTAATTATCCTATTGTTAAAAAATCTGTACCGGGGGTGCGTAGACTCGGAAATCTTCTCGAAAATCGAGGGAATAAAATTCCGAGCCTCCGCACCTCCGAGGAAATCACTCGTTTGCAGTCTAACGGCGCCGCGGCGTGTCGAATATTATTCAAGACAATTTCGAAACGAATTTTCCGTTCTCGTACCGACGCGATCCGCGATTAATTAACGCGATGGAAGTTCCGCGATGATTTCGCAATTTAATTGTATTTTCTGCTCTCGCAATTCGCGTGACCGTGTCATCGCTACGTGTATTTATATAAATAACTGTAAATAAATCTGACTCTCTAGATTAATATTATTCGTTTATTCGTGACTCGAACCCTGACTTTCTCCTCTCTGAACTTTGCTTCTCACTCTCGCGCTTGCAGTTATCTCGCGAACAGGTGGATTGGATAACCATTAAAAATTTCATAAAAATTGAACTAACTTTTGAAATGTACCGTAGCGTCTCGGATGTTACAGCAAAGGTATTTTATTTCAAGATTGTATTACGTGTCGCTTGCTTTTATAGTATTACTTTTTGCACTAAATAAACTGTGATACGTCAATATGGAAATAACTTTTCTTGTTATATCTGGTTCATTGTATTTCGAAATCAAATATAACTTTTATCGGGCTTCAGCTCTCCAAAGAGCTGTTTCCATTGTTAAATATGTCTCATGTCAGTAAAAGATCTTCTGACAATAAGTCTAGTTAAAGTAAATAAATAAGTTACTTAATGTTCGAGATCGCGAATGCTCGAGATCACGAATGCTCTTGAATATTCTTATTCTCATTTAGACGACTGTGTCATGAGTCACAGCGGTAATGTAACACGATATTTATTCAGCGGATCCCCCTTTGTTTGTGCCGCGCTCACGTCATAAGAATTATTCTCCGTGCGATCGAGTCACTCTCTTCGGTGCGGTCTTTTAATTACGAGGACAATGGTTATGTGCATCTTCGATATTCGTTTCGAGAAGCTTCTATTCCATGACATTCTGACCTTAGCTAAGCATTCGTCATCCCTGGCGCGTTCTTTGTCTCGGACGGGTATAAAACCCCATAGAACTTACGGCGCGCCGCCATTCGTCAACAGTGTGTCAGTAGGTTAAGATCTGTCGTCGATCGATGGTCAGTTCTCATTCACGTGCGGGTTATCCAACACTATAAGCGAGAAAGTGTTGATAGAGAATTCGCTTAAAAACGCCCGCGTTTCCGAGCTCACTTAAATTCAAATACATTTATAAATTATGTCACTCTTTAATATTGGCATTATTTTTGGTTGTTAAATAAACTATTGTGTTACTTCAAGCTTCCGGTGTTAGTGGTCTCTCACGCTCTATCCCTCCTCATTCACACGCTCGCGTACACTTAGAAAGTAACTATAATGATACGTATACAAATAAGTTTTTTAAAATAATCCCGTATATGCTCCAGTATTACAATTATTATTGCACTGAGCATAATATACGTAACAGTATATGCATGGATAAGAAGAAATAGAAATCGTATTTAAAGTGGAATACATGACTCAACGCGACTCCGCGATATGTTGTATTAATACTTAAAAGATGTCTGTACTAATTGTAAGATAAGAAAGAAATGTAATCTTTGTAGAATTAAGTTAAGCATAGATAAGAAAACAACCTCACGAAAAGAAAAGAAAAAAAAAGAGGATTGATGCAAAAGAAATTTTTCAGAATCTTATCTGATGGGCTGCCACCTGGGGTAATATTCATTTATAATATTTACAAAATTTTTATTTAATGTTTATACTTAATCTTGACAAGCATTTGCAATTATATAAAATTATTACTGAAAACTATTCATGGAAAATATTTCACTTTGAGGAATTATACGACACCATTATAACAGATTCTATCTATTTATATAACAAATGGAAAAGTATACATTACAAAAAAAACTAGTATTGATAAATTTATTTTCGCGGATTTTCTAGCGCAGCGGACGCTCTCCCTTCGCTCGCTTCGGATCGAGTAGCTGGAGGGCGGAGACGGAGGGATGGGGATAACTTTGCGTTCAGTACTTCGATTTTCGCTCTCGTGTGTTTTCACGACTAATTATAATCCGGTTCGCGCTATACGATTGTTAATTAATTACAATTTCGTCTTTTATTAACTATTGATTGTGCCAATACATACGCGCTGTGAACGTTTGATGAATACTACTCCCCACGAACACCCACTCCATATGCACACACACAAACACATATACACACGCACACAGTCATAAAGTACAGTGAAAGTGACGAGTTGCGGCGCGTTGCTGTACGGCACGTTTCCGTCTTCCCATCGTAATCCGTGGTGATTGCGAATCAACCATGAAGCGCACAATTTGGCGGATTTTGTGAGGAGATTCCACGGCATGGGGCATGTAAAGATGTAATGCGCCAGAACGACCCCGTTTCTGAGCATCGCCGCCTCCTTCACGACAAATTTCATCCCGACGACGAAACCTTGCAGGTTCACGAACGTTGGTGCAGACATGAAGAGATATCTCTCTCTCTTCGATGTGTGAATCGAGAGGAATGATGCGCGTTTTGCGACACTCTGATTTTTATATCCTGCTCCCCTTTCCCCCTTTCTCATAAAGAGGGAGTGAAAGAGAGAGAAAATTTTCGTTGACGTTGCCGCGAACACTCAGACTATTTTGCGCACTACGTTGGTCAACGGATTGTACTCTATCACGCGATCGTGTATGATGAAACAGTACGCGGAGGTATTCGGCGGTACGTTCTCCATGCAATCGAATTCTATTCTGACATCCACGGTGGCGTTTTTGACAGATTCGTTTTGTCGAGAGCAATCGATGATCACGAACGGGCCGTTACGCAGAAAAGTCGAAATGGTGAGACTCGGCTCGAGATATTCGTATCCGTAATAACCCTTGCAGAAACGCGCGTACATATCGTACAGAATCGCCCATCTGTGTTTGCCAAAGTCCAAATTCAAATCGTCATACGGATAGACTTCCGAGTTTAGGTAGAGTTTCACGTTGGTCAATTTGCAGTCGTCGAATCGGCTCGTGTCCGGATATGACGTTCTTTCGACCCGTCTGCAAAGCGAAAACGACGTATCGCGGTTTCTCGAGCTGAGTCGTGGTCTTAATGGCCCACGAGTGCTTGGTCGTGTTCTGCAACAGGGGATACTCGTACAGATCCCACGAACGGAAACCCATATTTAGATATCGTCCGTTTTCCAAGGCGCGCAGCATCGACAGCTTGTTGATCTCGCTCAATGCCACGTGAGGCATTCGCCACTGTATCTTGAGTATTTTGACAGTAGGCTCCAACGCGAGACTTCCCACCAGACAATTGTTGTCGTTGCGCGATCGTATCAAGATTAATTCGTGACGAGCGTTGATCACCACGCGTTTGTAATCCTCGCAAAATCCTAGTAACAGGCTGAGCGGTACGCAGAAATTAAAGTATCCATTCTTGTTATCCTGCAATGTGGATCCCAGTCGGCGTTTCTCAGGATCACGCTTCTGTCGGACGATACCGCCGTCGAGCTCGTATCGAATCTCATCGAACATAAACGCGACGCAATTATTCCCCAATACCACGTTATCGGCTGCTCTGGTCGCCGTCAATGTTCCTTCGACGCAGAGAAAACTTTCGCACGGCAACGTATACAGATCCTGCTGTTGTATGGGTATTCGTATCTCGTCGCTATACTCGAACGTTGTGTTAGCGTACGGGTTGTACGTGTGAGTTTCGATCTTGACGATGCGATCGTCAAAGACCGGCTCGCCTTCGATGTTAAGAATTTCAGTCATCGTTCACGCGTTCAGATGTTTCGTACCGCGAATCCCAGAGATTGTAAAAATTTAACGTTCAATGCGTTGAGCTTCTTTCTCGTCTCTTTTTTAACGCCACCGAATGTCGATTTGATGATATCGTCGATCGTCGCAGTCGTAAAGATATTTTTATCTGTCGCGTGCTCCGAATCGTTCAACACGAGCATCTCACGCGTCGCGCGTTATCGCTGTCACCGACGTACGTGCAATCTGACGGTGATCTCTTCTCCTCGAAAATCGAGCAATCGTCCGTCTTGATCCGCGACGCGTATCGTTAGATCCGTAACGCTCCGCGCGATGATCGGCAGGTAAATGATCTGCGCCGGCGTTTCCGATATCTTATATCCCGGTGGTACGCTCGGTGAAAATTCGTGTATCGTGTGAACACGTTTGCCGTTGCTGTACGCACCCGAGGTCACGTTACACTCCACGCGGATAATGTTTACATTGATAATATTAATCGACGCGTGCAATTCGTGCCACTGTCCCGGCTGCAATATACGCTTCGACGAGAATCCCAGCAGCGATCCAACGTTGTTCGGTTTGTTAAAGTTTACTTTGAAAGCGCACTTGATCTTGCTCTTCATCGTATTGTAATTTGCGCAGAGCACTATCGGGTATTCCGCAGCCGTTTTCGTAGCCGTTCGCGCGAGCGGTCGCCTCTCACGCGATATTCGCGACCGACGTACGATCCGATCATCGTTGGAACGAATTATGCGTTGCGGGCGTTTCCGTGAAATTTCGCGTTTTAAAAACTTATGTATGGCTTGTATCTCGTACAATCCCACGGGAATCGTAATTTCCGTGTCATCCTCGTCGAAATAAAATTTATTTTTCGAAGAATTCACGTTCGGAATCGTGTGATAAGTCTCAAAACACGTTAGACCGAGCTCGTAGTCATCGTCGCTCAGATCCACGGCGAGAAAATAGTGCTCCGCGAGGATGCTGCTCTTCCCGGTCAGCGAACGTTATAGACATGTCGGCGGAAACCGTTAACGAATACTGAGTCACCACGGCGCACCGTCAGGCTTTAAATTAGCGTCGATCGTCCGAAGAAATCGCAGGCACAATTGTCCACAGATGCTCTGATCGTATCGCTGATAAGACATGCAATTGTACTCAATCTTTGTCACGCTCGGGCCGAAATATCGCACCAATTCTTTCGGCGGTCGAAGATTGCCGAAACTGTCGAAATATATGACTCGATCTTCCCTCTTCGCGTACGCTATATACCCAATAAGTACCGGGACCCGCTGCATCGTCCAAATTCACGATACCGCTCTCGTTTCGATGTAAGTACACCGCCGATCGGTAACGAATCACGCATGAAGACACCTCTGAAGAACGGTACGCGCATACGCTTTGCCAGTCGATTCAATTGTTCGTTAGTCGTAATACCCGCGGGCATATTTAACGTTTTTTTTTTATTTTCGACGATACTCCTCGCCCGCGTTTGTGCGGGCCGAGATACAGCCCTCGTCCATATTTGCACGGAGCGAGATAAAGTCCGCGACCTTCCACGGCGCGATTGTGACGTTGCATCTCTTCCAGCTGACGCCGCGCGGCTTTGTTATCGTTCACGGCCTTTACGACTCCCGCTGCTCCGCCGGCCAGAAAACCGAGAACTCCCAACAACGGTAGAATCGGCAATACGCCGCCTCGTTTCGCTGCCGGAAGTATCCGTTTTTACGTCAGCCTTTTCCTCGTTTTCGTTTTTTTCGTTTTCAAGCCCATTCCGAGCTTCGTCTTATAGCCTTCATGGTCGCTCAGACGGCTTTAGCGGCAGCTCTCTCTCCGAGAGTCGAATCTCTCGCGGTAATGCGTTTTCGCGCTTCCGCAGCGAGTATCTCGTCCGCCGCGTGTCTCTCGGTGAGATCGCGGTTACGCGAATAGGCTATGTCGTGCTCGCGACACGCCGCGTCCAATGGATTAATACCTTGATCGCCTCTCGCCAATCGTTCTTGTAAACGAGTTCCCGGACCGCAAAATTGATAGCTGGGAATGTGTAATTCGAACGGAAGTGCGTTTATCTCGCGATTTAACAGGCCTCCACCATTTTTTTTCGTTGACATTCGCCGCAATCCTTTATCATTGGCGCGGGACTGTCGACGTGCGTTCGCTGCCACGGTTGATTGTAATGTTCGAACCTCCAAATCTGCCCTTATATGTTCCGGAAACTTGTCCCACACGTAGTGGACGTGATCGCCGCACGTTTGCAGCAGAACGGTTTTCGGCACAAATTGCAGCTGTTCGGCGCTCAAGTTGCGAATATCGGAAGGTCTCGACAGTAGGACGAACATTTTTGCTACTGAGTGATTCGCGGTTCCGCTCGCCTATAAATAAGCGTTCGAGTCAGCCAGAAAGTCGGCAATGTGGAAAAAAAATGAGATTTGTGCGACAACCGTTGGCGATTCGCGTGACGAATTGCGACGACAGATCACGGTCGATGGGAGACAACGCGGAGAAGCGTAGGCACGGTACGTAGCCCAGTCGATAGAGACATTTAAATGGAATTAATTCCGGGAAGCGATTTTATTTTTTTGACTGTTTCGGAGGGTCATGGGTAAGTCTAAAACCGGATTTTCGGGATTCTAACCCTGGAGCATTAGCCGCCATTTTGATTAGAAGGGTGATTTTGTAAATATCTCGCTTATTTTCAACTTTAGAGTGAAATCTCTGAATAGAATAGAATCTCTGAATCGATCCTAGGTGAAAAATAATAAGGACCAAAATTGTAGAGTATTAAATTTTCTACAAGTTTGGTTATTACCACTTTCACTCTAAAGTTGAAAATAAGCGAGATATTTACAAAATCACCCTTCTAATCAAAATGGCGGCTAACGCTCCAGGGTTAGAATCCCGAAAATCCGGTTTTAGACTACCCATGACCCTCCAAAACAATTAAAAAAAAAAAAAATTGCTTTCCGGAATTAATTCCATTTCAGCGGCTTTTTCGAGCTCTATCGACTGGGCTAACGATGCTGCCGGCTACTATACGCGCGATCATTTGCGGCCCCTCGAATTGCGGTAAAACCAACGTTCTGATTAGCTTGCTGGAAAGTCCGCACGGTGTATGTTTCGAAAACGTGTACTCAAAATTGCTGCAACAGCCAAAATATCGATATCTGGAGAATTTATTGACATTGATCGACAAAATCGGCTACTTTACGTTCTCCAATAACAGTGACGTTATTCCACCGAGCGACGCGCGTCCAAACTCAATCTTCGTCTTTGATGACGTGGCATGCGATAAGCAAGACGCTGTGAGAGAGTATTTCTCAATGAGCAGGCACTCGAGCGTCGATTTCTTCTATCTCTGTCAGACGTACGCGAGAATACCTAAACATCTGATACGGGACAACGCGAATCTGCTGATCCTGTTCAAGCAGGATGGTACCAATTTGAAACACGTGTACAACGATCACGTGAATACCGACATGTCGTACGATGAATTTTGCGCGTTGTGTCGCGATTGTTGGCAACAAAAGTACGGATTCGCGGTGATAGACAAGGACAGCGCGCTTTCGAACGGTCGATACAGAAAAGGATTTAACGTGTTCGCAATACCGTAAAAGCGATTGGTCGTTGCCGATACCTCGGCGGAGGTGAAACGTTAGCGTTATAGAGATCGACGCTCTGCTTTTTTTCCGCGATGGCCGCGATCGACGGGAGCGAGAATATTCGCGAACGCGAGAAGATCGTGAAAGAGATTGCGAAGACGAGTGATTCGATTCGCAAGAAACTTCGCGCTTTGAAGACCGGTAAGATCGAGAAAGACATTGAGATGGATACGCACTTTAAGCCTCTCATCGGACCGCTGAAAAAGATCGTCGACAACTTGAGCTTGATCGCGGTGAAGAAAGAGGAGCCGACGGAGAGCGACGCTGACGCGAAAATCGAAACGTTACCCGTTCAACAGCGCGGGGAGGAGGTGGAAGATGCTACACCGAAGAGAAAGAAGAAACGATTAGACTCCTGGTCGGATCTCTCATTGACACCGCGTAAATCTAATCAATTGCACAGTTGTTTATCTCCTGACAGTCGACGGTGTGGTCTTCCAATTTCTCGCTCGATCTAAAATAATGTAAACAACTGCAAAAAGAAAAACATGATTTTTTGTAAGTTTTTATGTTAAAAAATATTTTATTAAAAAGAGTATAGGTACTCACTGATCGCAAAAGTATTTCCGACCATAATGCCTGCTCAATTGCAAGCTAACGAGACGCGATAGGTTCTTTATCCACGCGAAATGTCCCACGTTGTCGTCTCGCGGGTCCTGCACGTACAGCAAATTGACGTGCTTTTCTCTCTACCGGTCGGTGAGTCGTATCAGGAGAACGGTTGGCGTCTTCTCTCCCTCGATGGTATACACATTGATGGATATATCGTTTAATCGTTCGAACTTTTTAATTTGATTCAACGTCACTGGAAACTCAATGTCTTGTAAATTTAATACTGTTGTGTAATGAGGGTACGAGGATTTCCGTTCTGAATGTCTTTCGGCTGAATGTAGAGCAGCTACCACTCTGACCACGCGAAACACGCATTGTCCATAGATTGCACAGTGATCACCGCTTTTTTCAATTTAATTTCTTGCGGTAAATTGATGTAACATCCCGCGCGCATAGGATTGTACTTGTTCACGTTTGCTGTCAAATTGAGTATACGCGACAACGCCCACCCGCTGTCGCGTTCCTGAAATTCCTCCAGAGATAATAAAGTAGGCTCGATAACGTGTCGCTTGTACCACTCGCGCAGATCGGACCGATCGGACAAACGAAAGAGTTCGCAGTTTCTCGTGTTGATACTTTTGTTCGCACGTTTTTCACCCGTCACAAACTCGCCGTTGAACATAGTGTTTATCTTTACACTTGCGTGTCTTTGCATGACGTTCCGCACACGATCGAGCACGATGTCTCTAGCATCTTTGAGAAATTTTCGCGGTTCGATGTGATTGATATTTATTATCGCACCGGTCA